CCAGGGGGTCCCATGGCCAAGGATCTTCTGTCCCCAAATGCAGGGAGGGCTGAGGCTTAGACATGGTGGCTTTAAATAGGCCCGAGTGGCCCAGAGGGGCACCTGGGCTCTGGGCAGCTCTGACCTGGTCAGTCCTGTGTCCCCGGGGCTCTGCTCACCCACCCCCTCCTTCCCTTCCACCGTCATTTCGGCCCCTGCCCTCCTGCGGTCCAGGCTCATTTTGGTCTTTAATCTTTACTCCCAGGAATGGCCTGGGCAGCTAATTCCATGATTTTGCCAGCTCTCAACCGTCCTGGTCGGGGGACCATCGGGAGAGCCAAGAGGGCACCTGAGGCACGGCAGAACCTGTGCAGGGCCCTGTCCCCTGCGCTGCATCTGCAAGACGCTCCCACTCTCCCGATCCCGCTCTTAGTAATGGCACCCGGTGAGCTGGTGCGGTGGTCTGCAACCCAGTGACTCGGGAGGCTGAGGCAGGAGGATCAGAAGTTTGAGGCCAGCCAACCAGGATGCACTGAGTAGGTGCCAGCACTTTGGGGGACATGGCATCTCCAACCATAGCCCTTGGGATCATCCTGTGTTCCCTTCCCTGCCTGCCCCACCCCCTCCTTCCCTTCCCCCGTCCCCGGCTCCCTGTCCCCAAGGCAGGTGGCTTTACCTGGCTTCAAGGTGGAGGACGGAATAGCAATGGCTGCTGCTTGACCTTGCAAGTCCCCAAACCTGTGTCCTCACACACCTCGTGTCACCTTTTAAAAATCCCCAAAGCCAGAAAGTGGCCCTTGTACCTCAGGCCTCCTGCAGCCGTGCCCTGACGCCATGCATGTTTCACATCTGGTCACCCAAGTGAGGGGGGACACGGGCGGTGGAGAATACTGGTGTCCGGCACCCGCTCCCCCGGGCTGCCCACGCCCTGCCAGTCCCCGGGGCCACGTCCTCATGGACCATCCTGGAGCCCCACCTGCAGGGCCGGGGTCTTTTCGTCACCTTGGGGCTGGGGGAGGGGCTGGCTGGGTAGAGAAGGCTCCTTTAAACGTCACCTCCGATTTGGGCCACTCCACTGTGAAAGGCAGAGTCCCAACAAGAGGGAGGGGGTGACTCAGGTGGTCTGAGAGGAGACCCCTCTGGACAGGGCAGAGGCTCTGGAAGCAGAAGCTGCCGTCCCGCCCGTCGTCCCTGGTCCTCGGAGGCCAGGGCGAGAAATCAGCTGGAATCGAGGCTGGAAGGTGGAGGTTAGGAGTGAGGAGCAGCTTTGAAAACCCGAAATTCGCTACCAAGAGAGGCTGCGGGTTCTCTGGAGAGTGGCTAAAAATAGCTCCTTCTTTAAAAATAGGTCTGAGCCTTTCCACAGCCCTGGCTCCCGGCTGGGGGAGGGTGTGCAGAGCGGGCCACCGGGTGCACGCCGCGTGCCACCCCCCGCCAGGCGGAAGGACACCGGCCCGTGACAGCGTGACAGCCTGTGCTCTCTGCTGGGGCCAGCAGCCGGGGCTGGGGTCGGGGTGCATAAGGGATTTATCCTATTTTCCCTCCGCCTCCCGCGGACGGCGTCATGGACACCGGCACTTTCCCTCTCCCGGAGGCTGCGGTGGGGCAGGGGGGAACTGGGTCACTCCAAACAGCCCCCTCCAGCAGCTCCCCGTCCCTGACTTTCCAGGTTTGGGGGGTCTGCTGATACCCAGGCATCCCGGCTGCCCACCTGCCCAGCCCTCCTGCACCCCACTCCTTGGGTGGAGCGTCCTGTGCTGCCCCTCCTGAGCCCCGGGGCCTCCGCTTCTCTCCGATCCCTTCACCACTCAGCAGCGAGGCGGCGGGTTCCATCTCCAGTGCCGCAAAAAAAAGAAAAAAAGAAAAATGCACCCAACTTATAGTGGTGTCCTCAGGATGAGGCTAGATGGCTTAGAACTGCCCATCAAGCGCCCTGCTTAGCCCTCCCTGGCCTCTCTCCTCTCCCCCCAGCCCGACTTAACCTCCTCAAGCCAGCCTCCTGCCTCGGCCTCCCCAGCCAGCCGGCCCTGGGCTTCGCCTCTCGGCTTCTCTGACTCAGGATGGAGCCTGGCTGCGGCTGACCCTCCCGTCCCACAGGGAGGCCTGGCCACTTGCCCCAGTCGCTTTCCCTCCATCGAGAGGAAAGTCCTGGTGCATGCCGTCTGGGCCGCCCGCCACGCGTCCGTGAGAACAGTGGGTTTCCCTGCAGCCGTCTGGTGTGGACGGAGCCCGCGTGGGGTCCAGCGAGGGCCCATGCCGGGTCTCACTGGGGGGGGACAGGAGCCTGTTCCTCCAGGAGGGTGTGGTCCTGAGCCCTGCCCAGGCCTGGGCTGGAGAGGGAGCCACCAGGGGTGGGGGTGGGGGGAGGGGGGAGTCCTGCTTGTCACAGAACAGGAGGAACAGAGGCAGGGACTCCAGGTCTACGTGAGCAGGTCACTCGCCAGACACTCAGACCTCCAGTCTGTGTCCCAAGCGCACAGAGCAGAGCGATCAGTGGGTTCATGGTGCTCCCGACGCCTCACCTCCAGATGGACAGTTCCGTCCTTCCTAAATGGGCCACCCCCTGGTGACACCTGTTCTGGCTCCAGGTGTCCTCTGCCCCAGACATGCAGGTGAGGGTCAGGGCTGCTCCACGGGAGAATGGTCTTGCCCGTGTCCCCAGCGCAGCAGCACGTGCTGGCCCCAGGCTTGTGGCCCGGCTCCAGGGCTCCCTGTGTGTGTGGGGACATGGCCTCTCACCCCAGGCTCCTGCCCCAGGCCAGCGGTCCCGCCCCCCCCCCCCTCGCTGTGTCCTTCAGTTAATTCAGCAGGTTCCTGAGCAGGAGTTGTGATTGGGTCTGTGGCCTCTGGGGTCTGTGGCCTCTTGCTGGCCTGCCTGGGCCTGCACGTGAGGTCACCAGCCGGGGCCCGGGTCCTGCTCCTCCCCATCCCCCGCCCCGAGGGTCAGACCGGCTCCCGACCTCAGGAGGCTGTGGATTGGGGCGCTGGGCTCCCGGGAACAGCCTGGCGTTCATCAGCCACCTCCCGACACCGTCCCCAAGGGGACATCCAAACAGCCAGGCAGGCGCCAGCCGGGTCCTGGAAACTGGGTCGCCCCGCAGCCCCTGCAGCCTGGAGCGGGTGTCCGCAGAAGGTGTTCTGGGGACCTGGGTCCAGATCTCGGGAAGGGAGGGTGGTCCAGGCCCCCAGGGACGGAGCCAAGGCTGATTGGGGGCGTCCCGACGGGCAGCCCTGTGTCACCTGAATCCAGGGCCTTGCTGCCTGTGCTCACTTTGGAGCACAGGTCTCCCAGGGCTGGGGACACTGCCCAGCAGGCCACGTGCCCTTCCTTGGTCCTACTGTTCCTCCCCCCCACC